CTCTGCTATTTGTGTTTTAAATGATAGTCTTTTTTAAAAAAAACAAAAATGAACCTTGGCTGCTTTTATGGACAACTAGAAGTTCCAGCAAGACACTGGAAGGCAGCCTAATACCACCAAGATCATCCAAGTGCTGGAGGCAGAAAAGTCTGTAAACAAAGATACATCTGTCCCTAATCAGAATCTAGGATCATGACATTTCTTTAAGGGAAAACACAGGGCCGGGGATTTAGCTCAGTGGCGCCGCACCTGCCTTGTAAGCACCGGGTCCTGAGTTTGATCCCCGGTACTCCAAAAGCAAAACAACTTTCTTCCTAATATTCTAAAACACAGACACCTACGTTTGCTCAAAGGAAACTTCTAACTCCGATTCCCAGCGACATGAACACAGCTTTGGTCATCCCTACACTGTATAGGACACAGGCGTGGACACGGCCTTGGAGGAGCAGGAGGGCGGCAGCACCGGGAGGCTGGGCTCTAGCTCTACCTGACCTGTTCCTCTAACTTTCCCGCATGTCACGGACCATTCCAAACAGTAAACCTCAGGGTGAGAGCCAGCACTCTGAGTTATCAGCTCCTCCGAGTGTGATTTAAATTCAGTCAGAGGCTTTACAGATGCAGGGTGACCTTTAGAGCCCTGCCCCTGGGGCCTGGGGCGCAGCTCAGTGACACAGCGCTCCTCTGGCACAATCCAAGTCCGGGATTCCAACCCCAGCACAGCAAATAAATAAATAAACAGAACTCCACATCTGCCCGTTTCTGTGACCTGCAAAGCGCCTTCACGTGTGCCCGCAGTTGGTTCTCAGCTACCCCACCTTCCACGGGCCCAGCCAGGAGGGCCTGGCCCAGGGGCACCAGGGGAGGGGCCTCCTAGAGCTCTCCCCCTCCGCCACGGGGAGGCCCCTCCCAAGCTAAGCAGCTGTCACTGGCCAGAATGACCAGGGAAAACATCCCTAACATATGGGTCTTTCAGCCACAAACAAGGGAAGGGCACTGGGCACTCTGGAGGTCCATCTGGGATGACTGCGGCCCTAAGACACTGGCAAGCACGCGCCCCGGGGAGGCGATTAGCTGGGTGAGGCTGTGCGGATGTGAGATCCTGCTCACCGAGGAGCAGCCCAGTGAAGGGAACGACGCACGATCACACCCTGACTGGCCGTGCGCTCGAATCCTGGAGATGTCAGTGAGGTAGGTGGTATCGGCCCCATTTTACAGGTGGGCAAACTGAGGCAGAATGAAATGCAATAGCTCGCTTTTAATAACAACATACAAAATCTAGAGAAAGCCCCAAAGTAGTCCCTGTCCCCGGAGCCCAAGGAAGAGAGACAGATGGGAGAACAGCTCCTGCTCTCTCCTGCCAAAAAGAGGTCTCTGCCCAGGTACTCAGAGCCTCCGGGGGGCTGAGGGCCTCGCCAGAACAGTAACAGAGTGGCAGCTTCCGGTGGACTCCCAGGCAGGCCAAGGAGGCTCCGGGCGCTGGGGAGAGACCAGCCCACAGCTGCGCACGCAGGGCTTGCCCGGGGCAGATGGCACACTGGCTGCAGGAAACCGGACAAGGGGACAGTGCCAGGCCCTCCCACCCTAGAAGACGCCGTCTGCCTGGAGCCCCAAGGGGGATGCCAACCCCGGCCCATCAGATACCCTGGCTACCGAGCCCTCCCACCTCCCTCAGGACCCGAGTTCTGCAGGTCTCTCCAGCCGCTGGGCAGGAGGCTGTGTGTTGGCGGTGTTCTTTGGCTGGAAGCAAAGGCCATTCTGGGGGTGAGGGGTGGGGACTGTTTGCTCAGCTCGGGAATGTTCTGGAACTGGGCATGGGGTGAGGTATTCCCAGCCCAGGGCAAAGCCGCTGATTAGGTCATGTCCTCATCTCCCCACCGGAACCCACTGTGTCAAAGTGTGACAAGGGGAAGATGGGTCGGGACAGATGCTGAAGTTCAAGGGTACAGTCACAGAACCTTCCAGGGGCCTCGCAAGGAAGGCTGGTCAGTGAGACTCATGGAGGGCCTGGCTGGCTGGCGCCCGCCTGCTATGTGTCTGGTTGGGACGTGGCCTGTGGCCAAGCTCAATCTGGACCTGGCTGTCCTTGCGCTGTCAGTGGCCCCCTGGCGACCCTGGTCCTCTCTGGGTGCAGAGGGTGCTCCGGAGATGGGCAGGGGGTAAGGGTGAGGATGCAGGGCAGGAGCAGAGCCAGCAGGGGAGGAGGACGAGGCACTTCAGTTTGGGCTGGTGTTTGTGGATCGGCCCTGGCCCCGGAGTCCAGCGGCCCTGCCTGGCTGCAGCCCTGGCACTGGTTGTCACAGAAGACCCCGGGCGGTGACAGGTAGGCACTTGGCAGCAGTCCCCGGGCCTCAGGGCCAGGGCTCCATGTGGCTCCGCCACGCTAGGTCATCAGGATGGGCTTCTGCCGTACCTCCAGGATGTCTAGGGCAGGACAGAAGCACACGACAGTAAGGCTCACCACCAGGCACCGTGGCCACCTAGCTCCTCTGTCGGTAGGAACCACCACACACGTTGGTCACATGTGGCCTCCAGGCCACAGGACCACAGGCACCAGGACAGAGCCAGCAGGGCCGCTAGAAGCCCTGGCCATCAGGGCTGCAGGTCTAGGTCAGCAAGGTGGCAACACCTGGGAACACGGCTGCTCGGGCCAGTGGGGTAACTACAGCCTCAGGTGACCCCCACGTGGAAACCTGGGGCACAGTGCCCGCTGATGCCCGGGTCCTGCCCGTCTCCTGCATCGCATTACCTGTTAGTATCCGATGCAGCGGCAAAGTGACGTAGGTCAAGTGTGCATAGAGAAGGAAGTTTCCGTCAGCTCTGTTCAGCTTCAGCCAGGACCCGACCAGGGATCTGCCCGTGCCAGACAAGGACCGGGAGCGCAGGTTGGTGGCATTGTGCAAGTCAGCTGGAGGGGAGAAGGCAATCAGGGCCTGGACGGTGGGGGCACCTGCACTCCAGCTGGCACCACTGTGGCCTCAGGCTAGGTGGACCTTATGAAGGGCCCTGTCCCTCCCTGTGCCGTCACTGGAGCCTGGCTCTGCCCGCTTCGGGCATCAGGGTTTCAAGACTGGGGTGGCCCTTCCCTGTCACCCAATCCTGTGGTCCTGTGAGGGTGGCAGCCTGTGGTGGCCACCAGCGCTTTGCTACTGAGCTGGAAATGAGCCTCGGGGTGGGGTCCGGGGTCACCCAAGAGCAGGTGGAGGCCATACCCCGGCCACCCCTCCCCCAGGCTAAGGTGGGCTGGTGCTCAGTCCATACTGTGGCAAAGCCCGTGCATTTCTGTGCACCCTGCAAATCTGCAGGGAGCCCGCTCAGCCCTAGTCTGTCCCAAGGACAAGAACGACGCCCAGACCTCACCAGCAGCCCTCCCAGAACCTCCCTATCTGTGCAACTTTCTCTACGCACTGCCAGGTGCCTGGTCCCCCCAATGGATTCCTGGGCCCCAAAGACTGAGCGGACACCCGACTTCTAGTTACACAACTCACAGGCAGTGGACTGACCACTGAGGACAGGGCAGGGGCCAGTGGGAGGACATGTGTGTCCTCAGAGATCAAGGCCTGCTGAGAAACACCGGGATGAAGGTTCCCGTGTGGAAGCGCACAGACCCCGAGCGGAAGAGAAGGGAGCAGTGCACACGGGCGGCGCAGCACTCAGGCAGAGGCTGGCCTGGGGCACAGGAGCCCTCGGCAGCAGGGTGTCTGTCTGTCTGTCCGTCCCTGGCTCCTGCCACATGGCACCATGCGGTAGACACTGGAGAACAAAGGGACGCATGCACGGAGGAGCCATTAGTCCGGCAACAGGGGCCCAGGCACCTCCGCGCTCGTCCTCCCGGAAGAACTCCTCGCTGTCATTGGCCGAGTGCGACTTCTTCATCTCCGCGATGCGGTTTCGGGGCACCTTCCTCTGGAGGGAAGGGGAGAAGAAGGCGGGCCGGTTGTTCCGCTCAGGCGTCGGGGGTGTGCTGAAGGAGGTCACCTGGGGACAAGGGGCCCAGTCACAGAGCTGCTCAGAAAACACCTTGCACGGGCAAGAGGAGGGTGGGCCCGGCCGGAAGAGCGCTTGCTGCCACCTGGCACATGGCAGGGCTCCTGCAGGCCACCCAGGTGGGGACGCTGCACATACAGGACCTTGAGCTGCTGTGGGGCTGGAGCTGGGGCTGTGCAGCCACACCCTGAGCAGGAGGAAGGGAAGGGGAGCGACGGCCGCGGCTGCTTTGGGTCTCGGTCCAGCAGGACAGGCCTGCACAGCTCCCGGCTCCTGCACACCCACCTTCTCGCTCCCCGCACCCACTGGTGAGAAGCACTACAGCTACAGTGAGCTCTGCCTCTTCTCCTCCCTTCTCCAACACGCTCCACACCCACGCAGGACAGATGAGCACAGGATACTGGTCCCTGCCCTCAAGGAGCTCACAGTCTGCTGGGCACAGGACTCAAAGTGACAACCATGGACAGCATGCTGGCACTGAGACAGAAAGGGAAGCACAAGACGAGGGACAGCCTGGGAACTCAGGGTAAGCTTCCTGGAAGAGGTGCTGCTCAAGCCGGGTCTTGAAGGACGAGTAGGAGTTCGCCAGGTGAAGAAGGGGGGGAAGGGCGTTCCAAGCACAGGGAACTTGGCCCATCTCCTCCCTCCTCCCCACGCAAACAAGAATCAGAGCAGCAAGATGAGCTGGGCTGAGACTTCGGGAGCCCCATCGGCCTCCTTGTCACAGCTCCGACATCCACCAGAGTCCCCGGCGGCTGCTGGGCTCCAGACGGTGCTCCCAAAAGCCAGGGAAGGTTTTAAAAGATAAGAAAAACAGACACCAGAAACCGCAATACACACAGTCTGCATTGGTCATGCACAGGTTACAAGTGACCCCTGGGGACGGGAGGACAGCAGCAGGGTGCACACAGGAGACAGTGCTGGGGCTCTGGCCTGTGGCTCCACTGTGACCCCAGCCGCTCCTCCCACAGCCCCATGGCCCCTCAAGGCCACTCTCACTTGGCAGGTGGAGAAAGCAAGGCCGGACACCCAGCAAACCCGATCGCCAGATGCAGCCTGGCTCTGTCTGGCGCAGGGCCCAGGCCGCATCTTCACCAGAACCAACGTATACCTTGGGGGAGCGATTTAGGGTTAGGGAGAAGACCAAGGCCTGTGTCTCACAATAATAAAGCACAGATGGGATTCTCACCCATCTTCAAAATAAATAAATACATAAATAACTAAATAATAAAAAAATAGCACTTCTCAGTTTTGTTTGGCTTAGAAAATGCACTGACTGCAGAAGATACCAAAACACAACAGAAGTACACAGAAGACCCCAGGGCGAGGTGCAGTTTAAGGCCTTTAGAATAGGTGCCCCTCCTGTCAGGCACCTGTCACAGCCTGGCATTTGCACCCCCAGCCAACAGCAGCAAGCAGTAGCCCCAGGTTGCTATGGGGAGTACTGCTGAGGCCCAAGCCCCACGCCAAGGCCAGGCCTGAGCAGCACCAGGGACCCCCACACCTTGGGAGTAAGAGCAGCAGAGCCAGGACCCCAGGCCAGTGTCTTCGGGACAACGGCCAGGCAGGCTGTGCCCCAGGGGCCCAGGCGAGGTGGCCCTTGTCCTGGGATGCTCACACTGACCTGTCTACTTCAGGGCCTACGGCACTGAGCTCTCCAGCCTGGGCCCTAGTGCCTGCACCACTGGGGCCACAGTGGCTGATGGGCACCGCTGTCCCTCAGGCTCCACACCCAGCCGTGGTGCATGACCAGGCAGTAGCTTGGGTTTCTGGGCAGGGTACAGGACTCTCATGCCACCCACAGGGACCCGCTAACAGGGCCAGCACCCTGCAGACTCACAGGTTGTGGCCCCTATGAGCTCTGCCCAGCCTCGTGGGAGAGGGAGGCCACCTCTTCCCTGCCCATCGAGCTCACTGGGGGCTCCTGAGGCCCCCCAGGCAGGCACCCAGGTCCCAGTCTGTCTCTTCTGTCTCAAGAAGGCACAATGATCACCAGCCACTGTGTGACCTTGGGCAAGGCTGCGCCCTCTCTGAGTCTCAGCCTCCTCCTCAGCATGGGAGCTGGGGATGAGGGGGACGGCGGGCAGCAGCCCCTCCCCAGCACACGGCCCTTACCCGCTCGTGCATGGGCGAGGCCGGGCTGGAGTCCTCAGTGCCGCAGGGGGAGGTGTCCCCGGTGGACACACGGCTGACAGCCATCTCGGCATGGCCCTTGCCCTGGGGCCCCTTCATGCGCACGAATTCCATGTTGTTGTACTTGTAGAAGCCAAACGACATCTTCTGGGCCATGCGTGCGGCCACGCTCACCTGTGGTGGACAGGACGCAGCCTGAGTGCGCGCAGTGGGGAAGCCCTGAGGGCACCGAGAAGGGGGTCTGGTGCCTGCTGACGTGGTCTCACCACCCTGAGGACCCAGCCACAGCACTGCTACCCGCTGTCCCAGGACGGCACCCACTGCAGGAGCGACCCGTCCACCCAGCTGTCCCTCTCCAGTAACAGAGAGCAAGGAGGGGTTCACAGTGGGGCAGGGCTGCTATCACCCCAGCTGTCACCCCAGGGACGGCAGAGGAGGGACACCCCCTGCCCTCACTCCCCACAGAAGCAGGTGGCTGGGGCACTGTGAAGCCCAAACACAGGCCAACCCTAGGGCTCCAGGAGCAGCCAGACGGACAAAGGTCCCTGAGGTGGGGCGGTGCCGGTGCAGGACTGGAGTCTCCCTGCGGAGGATGGGGACAGGACACGGTGCAGCCTGGCCTGCACTCACTCGGTTATCATACACCTTCTTGAGCGCCTCATAGCGGATGGAGCCCTGGAAGATGACTCCCTGGAACGTGTTGGTTTTGTCGCTGGCCACCAGCTCCACACAGACCATCTCTCCTTCTCCCACGGTCATGTCACTGAACACCTGAGGGCACAGAGCAGTGAGGCCGGGCCACTCGTCCACAGCCCCTGACCATCCGGGAGTCCCAGGTGCTCCACACGAAGCAGCCCTGCTTTGGACGGGTAGCGCAGGGCCTGGGCCACCACAGGTCCTTGCGCTGCTGAGCTGGACAGTCACGGGGCTGCGAGACCAATCGGGCACCTCACCAGCTGGAGAGCCCAGCCCTGTCCACCTCACCCCGACCCCCAGTCAAAAGCCCAGAGGCACTGACAGAGACCCCTCCTCAGAGGACAAGTGCGGGTCCCAGGTGCTCCAGACAGGCCACATCCTGCCAGTTTCTGAGTTGCTGCCCTCAGGGCTGGCGCACTTCAGGGTCATAGTCCATCACCTCGGGCCTCGGTGCTCCAAGGACCCCCAGAGACGGGGGTGGGGTGGGAAGGAGGGACTGCCTGCTGTCTTGGGGGTACTCGCAGGCCCAAGGCCTCGCCAAAGGAGGGCCTCAGGTGAGTGGGATCAGCTGCTTCCTCCAGGCACCCCTCCTGGCCCCACTCTCCCTGCCTTAGAACAGACTTCACTTCCGCCTGACACCTTAGGGCTCTGAGTGGTGCAGGCGTGGGTGCCCTGTAGACAGTTCCGTGGCAATGAATGGTGAGAGTTTCCACCACACTCTCCCACTCAGGAGTTTTGCATCCTCGGCCCCACGGGTACAGAAGATGGACAGTTGTAGCAGTCATGTCCAAATGAGGAAACTGAGGCTCAGAGCTGGGAGAACTCACTTGCCCCCAGTCAAATAATGGGAAGGGAGGCCACACTGGCAGGTGTCCAGACCTTTCCCCACTCCAAGCTGCCCAACGCCTCCTACAGAAGGTCTTTGTCCTCAAACCCCCCAAAAAGCTGAGGGGAGAGCAGCCAGGCCAGGCAGCTCACCTCCTCAAAGCTGTCAATCATGAAGAAGATGTTAGGGTAACTCATCTTGGATTCCTCCCCTTTGCTGTCCATGGGATGCTTACTGGGGGACGCAAACACTTGCTAAAAGAAAACAACAATAAAATATTTCTGTAGTGCCGAGTGGGGATGGAACCCAGGGCCACACCCATGCTAGGCAAATGCTCTACCACTGAGCTGCACCCCGGCCCAGGAAGGCAGATTTTAAGGGCCGAGAGAGACCCCACCCTGCAGGAGGCCCAGAGCCACCCCAGGTACAGGCCACCAGGGCCATACTGCCCAGAGCCAAAGTCAGACTCGTGCGGTCCTTGCCTGAGACACAAGACCTGGGAGTGGAAGGGCGGCCCCTCCAGACCTCAGAGGCAGGGCAGCGAGGACGAGGAAGAGGAAGAGGAGTCCTCCAGCATAAGCCCGGGCAGCAGGGGACTCCCCCCGCCATGCTGCCTGCCAACCAGGCTCACCTGCGACTTCTTCTTATGGATGTGGATGTCGCCCCCGTCGGCGCGTGTGCACACGGCACAGGTCACCACATAGTCCAGCTGGAAGAGAGCACAGGGCAGTGTGCGTCAGAGCTCGTTGTCCCGGGCTGTGCCCAGCCCGCCCGCCCCTACCTTCTGCAGGATGAGGTTCAGGCACACGCTCTCCTCCCAGTCGATGTCCGGGTCGCCCAGGCCTGGCAGCTTCTTGGAGTCCCGCCGGTACACCTCTACCTCCACCTCGGGCTCAGCCTCGGGCAGCTGCGGTACAGGGCATGGGTGCGGCTCAGAACCCTGGCCCCTGGTGCTGCCTAGGCAGCCATGAAGATGGAGAAGAACCCTGTTCTTCCTCTTGCTCTGTAACTGGGAGCTGCCCCTCCTCTCTGAGCCTTGGTTTCCTCATCTGCATAAAGGACGGCAAGCACCCGGCTCTGAGGTCGTGATGACTGAAGAATGTATTTGCCACATGTCACTAATGACAATGCTGTTGTGACATCTACTGAGTACACAGTGGGCAGCAGGGGCTAGGCTAAGTGTTTTTGTAAATTTCTAGTCCTTTTGCCCTCATGGCAACCCTGGAAGGCAAGTGTCACAGCCCTGTAACAGGCGAAGAGCAAATGTATTAGTCACACACCTCAAAGGGAAGCCAGGTGTCTGGGACGCTCCAGGAAGGAGAGGTGCAGAGGAAAATGCAAAAGTAGACTTTGATGCGTCCTGTCCTGGGCTGAAGGCCAAAGGCCACCGGTGGACCTGTGCTGGGCAGTGCCTATGCACCCAGAGCAGGACTAGAATCCACATGGGGGCGCAGGAGGCCCTCCTCCCCCAGAGTGAGCAAGGGAAGTCTGACAGGAGGCATCCCTGTCACTGCCTGCAGCTGTGGCGTCCCCAGAGCCCAAGCAGAGGCCCGGGCCCATAGTCCTAGCGCTCCTCAGTCTCCCTTCATCACCCTGCTTGGCTGCTTTCCCCCAGATGCCATGCCCCTCACTTCCAAACACTATGTGCGCTGTTGGGAACAGATATTTTGTCCAGGGGAGAGGTGAAGAGAGCATGCAGAGAATCCTGGGTATTCCAACCAAGGATCCCAAGGGGTCCTGGAGCAGGGTGTGGGGGTCCGGCTCTGCCCATCCATCCTCTTCAGCTAGGCAAGGAGACCAGCTGGTTGCCGTGGTAACCGGAGAGCGGGAGGGGAGAGTGGGTGGCGGCGCAGTACTTGCCGCAGAGGCCTAGCAGTGCGCAGACGCAGCGCCCCTCCTTGCCCTGTAGGAGGCTCGGGTCCCCAGCTCACGACTCTAGCTCGCCCCCTGCAGGCGACCCCGGGCCCTGCGGCCTGATGAGTAGATAAATGCCCAGTGGGAAACGGACAAGAAGAAAAAGTGAAAATAGAAGGAAAAAATGGAAACAAAGCTTTTGCACATAGGGAGAGGAGGGGGAGTAAGATACTGTGCCGTATGCTACCCTGTCCAACCTCCTTGGCAGGTCGCTGTGACAAAAGCTATGTCACCCCTTGTATCACATGTGCCCCCTGCTGCCTCCCAAAATGCAGGGGCTGCTCAGCAGTGTCCTCAGGGGTGTCCTCAGTCCACCATGCCCAGGCTGGCCCTGTTCTTCCCCCATCACAGCCCTAGTGACCCTGGATGCCACTGTCAGGCTGTCTGTCCCTAGAGACTGGGCTCAGTGAGGACAGGGACAGGTCTGAGTCCCTTCAGGGGGAGGGGCATCCGCAGGTGTTCGGCACCCCCGGGGACTCTGCTTCCCGCTGACCTTGACATCCCCCAGGCTGCTCCTTCCCAAGGTGGGCTCCCGCTTTTGCTTGCTCTTCCACCCAGGAAGGAGCCGCCCCTGCCCATCTCTCCTGTACCTGCCACCTCTGTAGGACACAGATTCCCCTTCTCTTGCCCCTCTGACCACAGCTGTGACTTCCCCTAGACCTGAAGCTCAGGGCACCACCAAGAGGACCCTGTACACCGGCCTCCTTAGGGCCTCTGGTTGCAATAGACTTCGCCTTGGGGCAAAGACCGAAGTTTTACAAAATGGATTCTCTGCCACCTGATTCCAGCAGAGCCCTGACAGGTTAAGGTGGCTGGGGACAGAGGCTGAGGACCACAGCACGAAGACGTTCCAATGCCAGCCCTTCCTGCCAAAGGTGTACGTCTGAGGTCACATCAACCTCGACTCCCAGTGCCCATGAGGAGAAGGCCCCACTCTCCCGGGTGTCTGCCCCATGCCCCAGAGTGACGACTGGACAGGCTGGCACACAATGAATCCCAAAGCTGGTCTGAGAGCTGGTCTGCCAACTGCACATGGGGTAGGGAGAGTGAAGTGGGCAGAACTAAGGAGCTGAGGTTTGAGTTCCTAAGTCCCGTTACCATCAGCAGGGCCTCCCTACCTTCCCTGGTCCTACTCCCTCCCCTCCCTCAGCTCCCTGACCACAACCATCAGCCATGTCTTCCACTGCACCTTCCCACGCCAGCAGGAGGTCATCAATGTCCCCACCAGGGCAGCAGGCTTGTCCCTTGCAGCAGGCTTACTCTGCATGTGTTCGGTCTGCAGCACAGGCCACAGCCAGACAATACTCCCAGCACTTGGTGCAGGGCCCCCGGACAGGCTCTGGGCTTGGTGCCAAGCAGGCTGAGATCTAAACCTGTTCCACTTTTTGTTTTTAAAGGAACACAAAGCATTTCCGTGTTTGGCACATGAGATGCTTAAACACTGTGCAAAGTTCTACAACTTCTGAAAACAGAGAAGGGAATGTGCACAGTGTCTCGACTCCTGCAGCCGCTGTGGTGAGGCGCTGTATCTGGGAGCCCCGGGTTCCCCATCGAGCTGCCCCTGCCAAGTGCTGGGAGTCCACCGGGAGGGGAGCACAGAGCCAATCGCCGGCCCAGTCTGAGTAAGGCAACACCGCTGTCCCCCCACCAGCACCACGCCATCCCTGTCTGGCAGGGCCACCCTCCCACCGCCCGGGGCAACCCCTGTGCTACACGTAGCTTTCCCTGCACTGGCTGCTTCCTCACGGCCACAATGGTGCTAAGTCTCTGCCCCCTAGGCCCCAGGACGGTGAGTAATGGTGCACACAGCCAGTGTGCCCGGAATAGCCCCAAACTAGGCAATGCGTACTCAGAGCTTGGACGGGGCAGGGGCTCAGTAAATACTGTGTGCCGTTCCGACACGCAGGGCTTTGGGGAAGGACCTGCAGACCTGGGGTGCTGGGCACGGGGGGCACCCACCTTCCTCGCGTCCACGCTGCTCTCACTGCCTGAGTAGGCCAGCTTCCGGCGAACATAGAACAGCATGTCGTCCTGCCGGGGGGCCCATTTCTCCATGAAGTAGGTGGAGAACATCCAAGTCCAGAAGACGATGCGGTCATCCTTGAGGCAGCCTGCAGGAGGAGGCGGAGAGGTCCGCCACCCTGAGCAAGCCCTGCCCTGCCCCCTGCATTCTGGGTCAGAATCCCACAGGGCCTGGAGCCACGCTGCCCCCCTCCCCCGGGGCATCTATGGAGGTGGGGATGCCTCCCAGGAGCCCCAGTCCTCCACCCAGCGGCAGCCAGAGGGCCAGCTCCCGCCTGGGCATGAATCAGCAGCTTAGGTAGAAAGGAAAACCTGAGCTGCCCGTCACTGGCGGTCTGGGCCAGAGCAGGGGGCGGGAACCACCCAGCAGCAGACTTCCCCGCCCCAGAGGCTCCCGGGGCTGCAGCAGTTCCCAAGGAGAATCCCACTTAAAGGAACAGCGCCCTGCATCAGCGGGCTCAGCGGCAGGGAGGATCCCTGAGAAGTCACTCCAGCCCCTCGCTATCCTTGCTCCTGGAGCAGAATTCTTACGATAGATACTTGTGATCTTTTCCTGCACAAGAAAAAGCCCACAGGCTTTGGTAGGAAAAATCTAGGTCTCCATTCCTCCTCTGCCGCTTCATTATGTGACAAGTGACAGGAGGACAGGCAGCTTGGCCTCCGTCAGCCACAGGTTCTTTTCGGGTTAATGCAGGTTAACTGTGATCATGGTGGAGGAAGATCCTGTGTCACACAGAGGGACAGAGCCAACGTGATTCCAGCAACTCAGTGTGCTAAACTGTTGTCAGGTCTCCTTTCCCCGGTTAACATCGAACACTGGGATCCAGTCCTGGGGGGAATCAGCCTTCACTTAGACATGGGGAAACCGAGGGCCAGCTGGGTGCAGAGCCCACAGTGTCCTCACAGGCACTTAGTGGCCCAACCAGGAATTGCCCATCCACTCTGCCTAGGGTCGGTCACTGGGCTGAGTCGCACAGAAAGCCAAGCCACACCACTGATCTCACAGCCAGGACCTGGCCCAGCCCCTGCCCTGGCCTGCTTTCTGCTCGGCAGGGCACAGCCCACCCACTCCCACACCTGGCCTGGCCTCAGAGTGGCAGGAGGAAAGGCGGAGGCAGCTTGCATGAGGATGGCCTTGCTGCAGCTCCCAGTCCACACCACTACAGACACCCCAAAAACCAGGCAGGGGCACCTCGGCTAGCCCTGGTGAAATGCCAACTCTCTTTTAACATCATACCTCTCTCTCAGAGTCCAAAAGAAAGCTTTCAGATTAAGACATGCAAAGGGGGTGCACGCTGACTGCCTCCTGGTCCCCTGCTGGGCCTGACAAGTGGGGGTCCTGACTCAAATGCCACCCCTCTGGGGGAGGCTCTGCCCCCAACAAGTCACCTGCTAGCAGCTGCAGGACACCCAGGCGATAGTGATGTTAACAAGAACAATGAACACCGACCATACGGTTGGGAAGAGCTCTGTGCAGACTGTTTCAGGGAATTCTCACCATCCTTCTACTATCACTGGTCTCACCAACAGGCCAGAGAACACACCCAAGTTCACAGCACAGCACCGGGGACTGAGGAAGTACTCCGATCCGCCAGGAGCCATACTTGGGCCTTGGAAAGGACTCGCTGTATCCAGCAAGCAACAGGCTGCAGTGAAGGAAGCAGATGGTGACCGCACTCCTGGCGAGCACCAGGTGGCCCTGGACTCAGTCAACAACCACAAGAGGGGACGTAAGGACCACACTGCCTGAGGGCAGTGGCTCTCCCTTAGCCTCCATGCAGGCACCCAAGGGTCCATGAAAAGCTCAGAAACGCTCTCGGCATCTCATCCTCTGCCAGGCTCGAGAGCTGGGTGGTCCAGGCAGGCTGCCTGCCAGTGTGGACTCCTCAATGGGCAGCAAGGCACATACAAGGGTCCTGGAGCCACACCCAGAGGCCGACAGGCCACGAGTGCACTGCACAGCCCCACACTGGCCCTACTCCTAGGTGCTCCGGTAGCTCAGTGACACTCAGAAGGTCCAACAGGCGCCACTCCTGCCACCACCCCTCCTAGCCCCACCACGCAGGACGGTCTCCACTCCTACTCCAGTTGCCCAGGCCTCACCTTGCAGCCAGAAGGTGTTCCTTTAAAAGCTCCTTTCCTGACCCTGCTCCCCATTACAGCCTTTCCATGGAATTCAGACTAAAACTCGAGGTCCTTACCTTGTGCCCCTGCACACAACCTGGCGCAGCAAGCTCCATGCCCTCCATGGCCACCCCGTCCCATCACAGCCCTCATTACCATGAGGTGTTTTCACACCCATGTCCTACCCGTCCCCCACTACATGAAGGTGTCTCCCAGGGAGGGACTTGGTCTTGGTCACCATTAGATCCCAGGGCCCAGATCGGTGCCAGGCACAAAGCACTGACCAACACAGGCTGAGTAAATGGACTGCCCCAACCTAACAGTAAACAAGGCAGGGCCAGCCAGGACCACCGCCAGGCCTGGGCTCACCCCTCAGCTGGCCATAGGCCGCGGTCCACTTCTGTGCCCTGCTCCTCCAGCCCTGCTTGACATCCCTCTCAGACTCAAAGCAGAAAACTTCCCTGGGCTGCAAGAGAGACAGAGCACCCTCAGACTCACCCCAGCCACAGCTGCCACTGTGCACCAACGCACAGGACAGCCAGCGCCACCAGACTGCAAGAATGCCGTGCAGACATTGTCAGTGCTCCTGCAGTACCAGCAGGGTAGACCCAGCAGGAGGAAACCCACAGTGTACCAGGGAAACACACACACGCACACACCCTTCACCCAACCTGAGGGAAGACCCTACACGAGTGGGGGAGGTGCCAGGGCAGGAAGAACTGCTGCAGCAACCCTGAACGGTGGCACAAGTGAAAGGAGACATCCCACTCCTAGGACAATCAACATTTGAAAGCAAGAGGAATCACAATGACAGGCTGGGGTGTGGCAATGAGGAGACCAGTGGAAGGTCCACAAACGACTGACCGATGCTCCCAGTGCAGGAGGCCACATCACAGCGAGTTAGGGCCAAGATGAGCATGACCCCAACCCGGAAAAAGGTCCAGCAGGCGACACAGCAGGAAGGGAACAAGCTGGTTCACAGGGATGTGGGGAGACAGCAGCCTCACCAACAATCACCCAGGCATATTGTGAGACCTCACTGTCATTTCTAAGAAGGCAGATTTGTTCCTTAAAAAATGACCATAGGCTGGGCATGCTGGTGCACACCAGTAATCCCATCACATGGAGGCTGAGGCAGGAGGATTGCATCGAGTTCAAGGTCAGCCTGGGCTACACAGTGAACTCCAGGCCACATGAACTACAAAGCAAGATTCTGTCTCAAAAAAATAATAAATACAAATTTAAAAATGCCATTTAGGGGCCAGGGATTTAGCTCAGTGGCACCACACCCACCTGGAAAGCAAAAGGCCCTGAGTTCAATCCTGGGTACCAGGAAAAAAAAAAAAAAATTTAGGAAAACTGTCAGATTCTTATTAAGATAAACATGCTCACACCCACCTGGAAAGCAAAAGGCCCTGAGTTCAATCCTGGGTACCAGGAAAAAAAAAAAAAACATTTAGGAAAACTGTCAGATTCTTATTAAGATAAACATGTACTTCCAAACAATTTGGCCACTCTTAGGGACTCATTCAAGAGGGGTCCATAGGCACAGGGACCATTCATAAGAGCCCCAAAGTGGAAAGTAGGAGGACAGACACACGGAAGGCAGTAGACCCATTTAAAGGAATATTACTCAGCCATTAAAAACTGCCGATCCCCACAGAACCATGGGTAAATTTCAAAATCATCCCACCAAGAGGAGAGAGAGGAAGTCAGATTACAGGGCTACACTTCATGTGAACACATTCCCACCATGATTCAGGAAAGCAAAACGTAGCAACCAAAAGCAGATGCACAGCTGTCTGCAACATTCTGGGTTTGGACTGGGGAAGTGGTTTCACAGGTGCAGTCATCAAAACCCATCAACCGTACTCTCTCTGCACACACAGCTTACTTAACTACACAGCATGCCAACATGGGCAATAAAAAGTTCTGGCCGATGCAGGCAAGGGCACACTGAATGTGGATGCTCACACATGCTAGAGAACAAAAATCATGATATCCTTTGTGGAAAGCACACAAATGTTTGCCCAATTCTATGAATCTACCTAAGAGAAATAGCAAATACAAACATACAAGCCTCACACACAAAACTGTTTCCCATTTGGTTAATAAGAGCAAATCATAAAACAGCAATAATTAGGAAAAGGAAGAAGAACAGAGCACCCTCTTCTGCAGTGACTGACGTCTAACCTAAGCGAATCTGGCTACATGGACTACACCACCCCCACCTACCCCTCAGCGGCTGGCTGTGAGGGCACCGGTGTACAGTGGGTGTACTGTGCCGGGGGAGGCCGGAGGACAACCACACAAGTCACGAGGAAACCCCAGAAGTGCCACCCAAGATGCGGGGGGGGGACGCAACAGGGAACCTGCCTCTTTCTTCACTTAGCATTTTCATTAAGATTCCCATATCGGGGCAAGGCAAAGGGAAGGAGATTCAGAGATGACTGGGTCCCCACCCAGAAGCTAGGTGGGATTAGAGTGGGATTTCTGAGCCTGGCAGGCACAGGGCTCGAGGCTTTGAGGCCGGACCATGTGGCCCCGGGTCCTGACTGCTCTGACCCAGGTGGTTGATGTGTCAAGCTCTATCTGATGACTCCAAAGTTGGAGTCTCACTCCATCCACCCAGGATCAGTGGTGAGGACTGGGGAGAGACCAAGGCCCTTCTGTAAACTGTAAAGCCTCATCCCCAGGGGGCCACTGGCGTCCTGCTCTGCCGCCTGTGAGTCTCTGTGGCCCACTCAGGTGAGGTCACAGACCCCACCCTCACAGTGCCTTGGCCCTGTGATCGGGGACAGTATACATGAGCACGAGAGGGCCATGGCGCGGCCTGGGATCCCCACTGGCGCCTGATCCTGCAGGTGTGGGCCCTTTCTCCTTCCCAGGCCTGCCGGAAAGAAGAGGCCACTCCAGCAGAGTGTCCGCTCCCTGCTCCTATCTTGCTGCCCCAGGCTGGCCCAGGCTGCGGGTCCTCAGCTCCAGGCTCCAAAGGACAGCTCACGGGAGCAGGTGCGACCCTAAGCTGCACAGAGGCGCCAGAGCAGTACCACGGACAGCTCCACAGGCCCAGGCCTTCCGTCTGTCTCTGATCCCCAAGGGCAGGGATCAGCCCCTGGCCTCCTTCCCTGGTACCCAGTTCTGCGAAGTATCCAGGAACACTGAATTAGCACGTGTGCCCCACTGCTGCTGGGGAGACACAGGGCGGGGCTCCCGAAGGCCTCTGG